TGAGAGCCAGTGCCTCCGACCTACTTGTGGAGAGCAGTGGGTCCTGGGCTCCTCAGGGAACAGGGAGGGCCCGGACTTTGATGGCACTGGAGTTCCAGCAGGAAGGGCTAGGCTGACTGAGGTGGTGAGAGGGGCTCAGCAATGAGTCCACTGGCAGCCAGCCTGGCTGAACCATGGAAAGGCTACAGCCAGCTGGCAGTGGGAGCAGCTAAATGCAAAGCTCTGGAGTGAGGCTTCTGGTCTTTGGAGAGAACAGGCAGGACCTGTGGGGGCTGGAACAGGTGCTGGCGTTCTGGGCAGAAATGCTCTTCAAGGCCGGGGCAGGGAAAGAAGGCCCCTTACGGCATGGAAGGGCCTGGGTCACATGGCCAACTCCCAGATACTTCTAGCCAACCTTTTGCATATCAAGATCATAAGATGGTGGTTCCTACAGTGTGACTGATTTCCCAGATGGCCTTGGCTCGCTGGGGAAATAGGGAGTAGGGAGAGGCCTATCTTTCATTCCTATGACAAGCCCACACTGGCAGCCCCCATAAGCCTCCAGCTTTAGGAATTTATTCACAGAACACATTTCTTGGGAAGCTCCAAGGTTACCTGAGAGTGGCAGTCTGTCTCCACCTCAGGAGTCAGGTCCAGGTCTATGACGGCCCAAAACCTAACCACTAAGGAACCACAGAGACACCACCACCCCACCAGCTACCTAGCACTGAGGGTGTCGATCAACTGCACCCATCAGGACTTTGCTTATAGAATATTAGCAAGGTCTGTCCTCTACCCTATACCCTGGAGTCCTCACAACAGGCTGCACCCATATGCAGTAAATGCCACAGCAAAACAAAATCCCTAGCCTAGGGACTGGGGCTGGGTCTACGTTAGCAGAGTGAAACCAGTGGCCATTGGGAGAACAGTACCCTCCAGGTCCCCACATGGGCCCACTTTTTGGCTAACAGGACGCCCCAGCAAGCCCAAGCAATGGAAGGCAAAGAGTCCTCTTGGGCCATGAACAAAGGAGCAGGATGATGCTCCCAAGCCTCAGGCCGAAGCTGAAGAACCCTGTACTTTGATGAGGAGCAATTTCCCAAACAGCATGTGGAGGAACGGTGCAGCCATCCACTAGTGAGCAGAGAAACACGTGGAGGAACGGTGCAGCCATCACTAGTGAGCAGAGAAACACGTGGAGGAACGGTGCAGCCATCACTAGTGAGCAGAGAAACACATGGAGGGACAGTGCAGCCATCACTAGTGAGCAGAGAAACAAAGAAAACACAGGGCGACTCCTTGATGTTACCTGTGTACACAAAGTGTGCTGTCAGAGAACCACAGAGCCCCCTGCCATAGCCATGACCTCAGCCTTGGGTCACCTCTGAAAGCCACAGGAGCAGTGAGGACCCAGCGAGTAGAACGGGCATCTTGTTCCCACCTGCAGGGAAGTAACCAGGGATGCCAAGGTGGCCTTTCACTCACTTGCCAGGGGCTTGCAGTGTTCTTCCTCACCCGGAAAGCCACGCAGTGCCCTTTTCCCGTGAGTTCACAATCATGGCACATCTTGATGCATCTTGAGAGGTGCAATGGGTCCCCACTGTGACCCCTCCACACTGCTGCTGGCTGCCACCTTCCAGACCCTGTCTGCACCCATCTTCTGTTGGCTACTCGGATGGTTCAGAGGAGAGCTAGACTGATAGCACTTTCCAGAAGGAGCAGGCAGGAGTTCTTTAGCCTTGACGTGCTGCTTTCTGGCCTTTGGGGTTGACAAATGATGATGGGTTGTCATGTTTCTTCTAGAGGGGGTCTGGGTGGGAGAGCTCCACCCTAGACAGTGGGTGGGAATGCTTGCTGTTGTCCCACCACCTACCATTGTTGTGTCCCCACCACCCCCGCCCACGAAGTCCAGTTTCACACGGGGAAGTTTGAACACACAGACCCAGGAGCTGGGAAAAGGGATTCCACAGTGGTCCATTTGCACACCAGAGGCACGGTTCTCTGGAGGAGCTATTTTTACTCACCTGAAAAGTTGGAGCCACCTGATACATTGACAGTTGTCCACAGCTGGAGTTCACTGTCTTTTAAATAGTGTGAGTATCCCTCGGCCTGGTACATAGCAGGCTTGGCCATGCCTCCTGAGACAGCTGTGCTGTCCCCTAGGGAATCACTTGGCATTTAGGACAGTGCTGGGCATGTCGCAGACACTGGGCAAGCAATTGCTATCTGTTCTGTAGTGGTACTCATCCCTTCAGGAAGGTCAGCCCCAGGGCTGAATATCTTTCCCTGTTCCTACCCAGTTCCCTTACTTTCTAAGAGGGGTGGGGCGGCAGAGAAGAAACCCATGTTCACTGGGACCAGCCAGCTCTCTGTGAAGGTCTACCTGCTGCTGCCGTCTGCCTCAGCACACCTACTCTTCCATTTCTTTCCTCTTCCTCCGCCTTCTCACCCACCAAGACCCCCCCAAAGCTGGGGTTCTCCCTTCTGTAACCCCCAGGGGAGGACCTCCACAAGGCTCCTTGGCTGTCATCCCACTGACCACGGGCTCTTCCCAGCAGGTGACTTGGAAGTCAGTGCAACCTTGTAGGCACCTTCAGGGTACACTTCCTGAGGAGGGGTCAGCTGAAGTTACCCTCTGGGCCTAGATACTAACTGCTGCAGGTGCTTCTTCCATGGGTGCTCTGAGAGAGAGCGCCATCTGCCCCTGTTCCCATGGTGGCTCAGGCCACAGCTGCCACTCTTGATGCCACTGTGCCTGCCACTTTTGGTGCTGATACCTGACCTACTGCTCTTGCCTGCTGGTAAAGTGCAATCGTGAGGACAAGCTGTGTGTAGAAAGATCAGGGCTTATTGGGAGGCTTAAGGTTAGATTTGAGGGCTGTCAGGTCCTGCCATATTCTTGGGCAGGAAAATTATCCATCATAGACATGTGAGCTCCTCCATGTACCCGTGGATTTTCAATATAAGTACAGTTTGACTCCCAAAGGGACTGACTAAAGGATTGTCACATTTGTCTGTAACAGTTCAAGGCAAGATGGTCAGGAAATACTTAAAAGCAAAGGGTAGAGAGGAAAGCCTGTAATTCTACCTATTAAAATATGACTCATAGTTGTGGAAATTCCATCAGCATGATGTTGATACAGAAGGTAGCTATGAGGCTCACTGGAACACAGTGGATGGCCCCCGTTTCCTGCTCCTGACTGCTGTATGACAGAGCCAGTGCCCCACAGAGTGAATGGCAGGCAGGATTAGCCATTTTATGTCTTGCACAGCAGCAAAAATCCAGGTCTGCCTGCCAAGGCAAAGTAAACTACTTAACTGGACAAGTCACAGTATACAGTGAACTAGTGTCAGTCCTGTGGAGGGTTAACCCCCTCTGGGTTTAAAACTATTCATTTAAATACCACGAATGCTGGGGCTGGGGCATGACTCCACAGTTCAGGATGCTCATGGCTTTTGCAGAGGACCCAGGTTCTGTTTCCAGCATCCACATAGCGGCTCACAAACAGCCATATGTAACTTTAGTTCCTGGGGTTCTATGCCTTCTTCTGGCCTCCGTGGGCTCCTGAACACACATGGCACACAGGAACTCACACAGGAACACGCACACACGTGTACACAAAAATAACAAATAAATGTGTGGGGGGGGCTTGGTTCAAAGAAGATGATGGTAGTGTCATTCCTAGCGAGTCCTAAAGAACGCAGGGAATCCAGCAAACCTCGCTTATTAAAGAAATGCAGATCTCAACAGGGAGGAGCATACTGCACTCATGTTAACACAAATAAAGAGCAGAAATGGGAGGAATGGGGGGGGGTACCTGCTGACCTCTGACCTCTGGAGCACCAAACAGCAAAGCTAACCCTCACAGAAAATCAACAGCAGGCTTGAGACCTCTGCAAGGAGTCATGGCCTCTACCTGCCACTTTGGAAACGTTTACCCTAGAGAGAGACTCTCCACATGACTGAAGACCACCATGAAGGATGCTGGAGACCCTGGGACTCCCCGGCCCTTCGTCCTCGACGCAGATCAATCCCACCTTGTCTGCCTATAAACGGACCATAAAGGTTTCTCAATTCATCTTACTAGAGGTTGTCGGAGGTGTAAAAGTCTAGTGGAGCGTCTGTACATGCCTTTAGAAGGCAGAGGCAGGGAGATTGTCACAAATTAGAGGTCAACACAGTCTGCAAAGTGAAATCCCTCAAAGAGAAAGGCTTTCTGGAAAGATAGCCATGGATTTGTGACATTCAAGAGTAGAGGTTGGCTATGACCTTAGTGTCTCTCCACATGAAGGAAAGGCTGGTTACATAAGGGTGTGGCCATTAGCTAAAAAGGCACTTGCTGACCTGCACAACGGGAAAACGTGGCTGTGGGCAAATGTTTGGGGATCAACACATGCACCCTGACTTAAGCTGAAAGGTGACTTTGTGCACGGCTGAGCAAGGCTGAGCACTGGACATTAGCATAAGGTACTTGATCAAGGCAAGGGACTGGGGAAACTTTTAGATGTCATAACTAGTGATGCCACAGATGACAGACACCCTTCCATATAGGCTGGTGTCAGCTAGGACACAGTGGGTCAGCCACATTAGGTCTCTACAGACCTTTTCAATTGGTTGATTCTTGATAGATTTTCAGATGAACCATATAAAATTGCCTTTTGTTTAGTTTTTGTTTGGGGTATAGTTGTTATTTTGGTTTGGTTTTTGTTTTGAATGGAGGGGTTGCTTTGTTTGGTGATGCTTTGTTTGGTGACAGGGTCTTACTGTAGCCCAGGATGGCTTCATGCTTGCTACCGTGCAAATGGCTGAAATTGCCATGTTTGGAGTTCAAAGGTCAATGGATTTCAGCAGTTTCATGTGGTCAAACAATGTCTTTAATTCTTGCCCCTGAGCCCAGGAGTTAGTGAGAACTTGCTGCATGCCTATAGTAGGAGATACATTCCTACCTCCAGTGTCCTTAGTCAGGAGCCCAGGTCAGGTAGGTACCTGGCGCTCCTTGAGTGTCTGACTCTGTTCACAGGCCCTGGTCCTTCACCAGCTGGGCCGCTACAGTCTAGCTGAGAAGATCCTCCGGGATGCAGTGCAGGTGAACTCGACCGCCCATGAAGTCTGGAACGGGCTGGGTGAGGTCCTCCAAGCTCAGGGCAACGACGCAGCAGCCACCGAGTGCTTCCTGACGGCCTTGGAGCTGGAGGCCAGCAGCCCTGCTGTACCCTTCACCGTCATCCCCCGAGTGCTCTGAGAGGACAGCCCACCTTACCTGCCACACAGGCCCAGGATGCTCCGTCCAGGCTGCCAGGAGTCATCCTATCACCCAGTGAATGGATCTGCAGTACCAAGGCCCTGGATGGATGTTTGACCACAGTGGAGTAACCATGCCAACCCTGATCATCGCTCTCCCCTCTTGCATTCATTCATTCTTGTTGTTTTTGCCAGATCCATGGTCATTTTTTGAATCTACTGATGTCATTCAAAATGGATTATGTGCCATATTCAGTTAGTTGTCACCTGGGTTTTAAGTAAAATGATTAAGGACTTAATCAGCGAATGTAGAAGAATATATTCCAGGTTAAAATTCAGCGGCAGAACAGATTATTTTTATCAGTGCTGTAAGGAAAGCAACTGTCCTGTCCTCCGTCCCCTTCGCCACCTCTCCTGCCCCTCCCTTGGCCCAAAACCAAATGTGAATTTTCTGTTTCCCACCTCAGTGCTCGTCCATGCCGGGACACCAGCTGACAACTTCTCAGTTTTATTGTCAACAGTTGTACCAAGTGGTGAATTACTGTTCTACTGTTCTCCTAGAGCAAAGCCTGAGTCTAAGAATATTTATATTTTACCAATATATGGCTGTTACAAGAGAAGGAAATATGAGTTATTTAAGTTTAACTTTTTTATGTGAATTCAGAGTTTATTTATCGATGGAAATATGTACAAAGAAACTTCAAATGGAATATTTACCGACATTCCTTATACATGACAGACACTTGGCTAAACAGGAAGATGATGTTAATAAAAAAATGATTTTTAAATGGACCCCTGGCTTTTGTCTTTCACAAAGGTGGCAGACCAGAGAACAGCTATTGGCTCATCTGTGGGCTATAAAGCTCTCCCATTCTGGAGCCTGCTACAAACAGTCTGCTGGGCACAGGGAGGGACCTACACCGACTCCACAAAAAGCAACTACAGAGAATGGCTTCAGGCCTGGGCTGGCTCCTCAGTCCACATCTGAGCTGTGTGAGCTCTTTACACCTTCCTGACCTCTAGCTCCTCATTTGCATCCATCTGTGTGTCAGGGTTCCAGAGGCCCTGACTGTCTAGCCTGCTCTCTGACCTGCCAGGCCTTTCTCAACTATTTGCTCATCCACTTATTCATTCATTCATTCATTCATTCATTCATTCATTCATGAGGAGATAGAAAGGTCAAGACACTCACTACCTGGCAAAAAAAAAAGGCCATTGAGATGTAAGCCTGAGGCTTTGCCTTTGCCAGATGTCAAGGTCTTCCCTGTGGAGAGAGGCTTTGGGGACCAGGCCATGTGTGAGATGCCCCAATTCCATTAATGCTGACTGTGACCTAGGCAAGTCTCGAGGAAAAACAGACAAATGTACACATGGTAGAGGTGACAGCAAAGCAGGGTCATGGCCTACTGAGGGAGGAGCTATGGTGCCATCTCAGAGAAGGTAGTCAGGGATGCCTTTCTTATAAAGCTGGGACAAGCCGGGTGGATCCATGAGGAAGGGACATCCCCCAGAAAGAAACCAGAACAGCTGAAGCAAAGGGCAGAGCTCAGAGTACATCCTGCCCTCAGAGCCCACACTAGGCTGGAGTGGTTGGCACCCTAGCTTAAGGCCTGGGGTAGTAGAAGGGATCTTCTGAGAGGAGCTAGGTATGTGGCCAAAAGCCACTCTGTGCCCTTCTCTTGTGATGGGGTGCACTCCAGAGCCACCGCTTTCTAGATCTCAACCAGCATCATTCCCGCCCCTCCCCCAACCACCTCTCAAGGCCAGGCTGGAGGCGGCTGATGCAGGGCTGACCATCTTGTAGTATGGTCAGCAGCACCCTAGGGTGCTGTGTCAGGCGACCATGGCCTCCCGTATAGCTACTCCTACCTCTCCCTACACTAGTTCTGCTTCCCAGTCTTCTTCTGGCTCTTCTGCCTGCTCCAACATTGCCCCTCCACTCTGCCTCTGCCAATTTTTCCACCCCACTGGTCACTGGTTTCCTGCTATTCCCACCCACACGTCACTATCACAGGATGGAACCAGGAAAAGGACATCCTGCAGACATCTCAGGCAGACACTGGAGCTTCCAAAAAGCCAGGCTGTGGCCCCCTCTCCAGGGTCTTGCCCTAGGGGACTCCCACAATCTTGCACCTCCTCAGCAATCCTGAGTCTGTTCCTCTCAGGGCTTACTGCCAAATGGGGACAGCTAGCCCTCCCCAATCTGCTTCCGGGTTAGGCCTTGCGTCAACAGGCAGCTATCAGGATTGTGGAATACCAGACAGGGAACAGTGAGGATTCAATCACTTCACAGGGCTGCCACCCAGATCTTCAGTGCTAGGCCTGCAAGCAGGACTCCTCCCAGACACAGGCCCTGACTGGGGTTGGAGACAAGAGGTGGCAAGAAGGTGGCAGGCACTTTCTCAGGTCTGCACTCCACCCCTACCAGGAGCCTCAGCTGGCCATCTGGCAGGCTACAGTCTCCACCATGGTTCCCCATTCCCAATCTGCCATTTGGCCCCTAACATTCCCTGAGAACAATAGGGTTCCTTAGTGACAGTGGGTCACACAGATCTGGCCACTGATCTTCCCTTCTAATGGCGAAAGGACCTTCATCTCCAGTCTCCAAGATGGAGGCAGTGACCTCCCCTCAGGACTACTGGGCATATTCATAGAGACTGATCCCTACACAGCGTGTTTTGCAGCCCAGGCCCTGTCAAGGGCTTCCTCCTTTGCACAAGGCTGAAAGTGACTGTCACCCGGGATATGCCAAAGGTTCCTCCTGTCTGCTACACAGACGGATTCACAGATATGGAAGACAGAAGTGCTACTCATGGAGACAGAGGCTGTTGTGGGGGACAAGGTGAAGAGGTAGGATGTGTTTGGCACAGAGGCCCATTCTGTCTACCAGTCTCACACCTCCTTGGCTTTCTCGGTCTCAGAGAGCATGCTTGGGCTCTGGGTCCTGCTGAATGACCTGAGGCTCATACCACAGCTGCCTGAAGCAGAGCCCTGAGAGCCAGGGGCTTGGGCTATGGTGTCATCTGAGCCGGGCTTTTCACCCGGGTCTGGCCCCCAGTTCTGAGGAGCCTTTGATGAATCACAGGGTCTCTCAGTGTCTCGGTTTCCTCATAGGCCACATGGGAAGAATAGATCTCTGCTAGGTTTCAGAGTGAATGCCACACACAAGCATGTGACTGGCCTCGCAGAACGTTCTCCTACAGTGGCGCCTATTATACAGTTACCCGCCTGCCCATGAGCTGAGCCTGGCACTCATACCCACACAGCTCCACAGGCCAAGAAGGAAGGAGAGACCAAGCCAGGTCTCAGTCTCACCCCCACCCTGATGACTCTCAGCTGTACCCCAGAAGATGGCTGCCTGAAGGTGGAGCTCCCTAAGTCTCCAGGCATGAACCCCATCCAAGTCTCAGTAAGGTCTTCCTTGTTCAGCCTCTGCACTGGAAGTGTCCTGTATGACAGACCCAGAGACCTGCACTGGGGAGCAGGGTGTCTGAGCTGGGAGCTGGGGGCTGGGACAAACCCAGGTGTGAATAGATGACTACTCGATAGAGCTGTTGGGAGAGAACTCAGGGATGAGTAGGAGCGCTTTACATCAGGAAGTCAAGGGTGACAAGAAGGTGCCCATCATAGACAAGTCTGAGGTTCTCTACTTTTCAAAAGGCTCACGAGCGCATGACCAAAATGCCAGATGACTAGGCCCAAGCAGTCTGCACAAGAAACACCCACCCATCTTCAAATCAGCAGGCAGGGAGGACCCCCACCTTGTAAAGAGAGCCAGGCTTCCCCCCAAATGAAAAGGCACAGGCAATCCGGAATCCCTCCTGTGTCTTGATATGTGGTTGTCCAGATGTAATTAATTTCAAACCTACTGCTAAAAGCTGCACCGTCAAGATGGCCCAGTGTAGGGCTGATGGCCTGTGTCAGATCCCCGGGATCCACCTGGTGGAAAAAGAGACTCAGTTCTCCCAAGTTGTCATTTAGCTTCCACATGTGCGCTACGGCACAGGTGCCCATGCACACAAATAAGCAGATAAGCAGACGGGGATGGATGGATCTATGGATGGATGGATGGATAAATGTGATAAAGGTTAAAAAAATTAAATAAAAAAAAAAACATGAGCAGAGCTCAGAACCAGTGAGATTTTCTCTACTGTTTTCAAATTCCCTGGCGCTCAACTTTTAGAGCGATTTTACAGATCTCACCTCGATTTTAAAACCTCCCTTATGTCTGGCTCTCCCGTGTGCATGGAACAGACAGCCTCCTGAGTGGGGATAAAGCTGGCCATGGTTTAAGCAGAGGACCTTCGGAGACCCCTGGTGTGCAAAGCATGGCGCTATGGAAGGTGGTAGAACCTTTGGGGGAGGGGCCCAATTGAGGGCCTGCTGTCATTAATGGTGTGCCCAAGAGAAGTCACTCTGGTGGGCCTCCTCCGTAGTTCTCTTGAGAGGCCTGTTACAAGATCCCAAGTTTGGCCTCACCCAGCATTCTCCTCTTCCTGTTAGAGATGTGCCCACTTTGCTCCCAACATTGTGATCACTGTTGCTATGAGGTCTTCACTGGACCTGAGCCAATTCAAGTGCCATGTCCATGAACCACCAAAACTGAGTAAAATAAACCTCTCTGTTACTGAGTTTGCCTCCACTGTTCCTGTATAGTCACCCTGAGCTGAGTAAATACACTTGCCCGCCTTTATCTCTCTCTTTCTACTGGTGAGGTTTCTCCTTTATTATAAAATATATGCCCACCATGTCAGGGGCCTCCCGCTGCTACAATCAAATGCTACAAAGCAGAGTCAGCACCTTGAAACGGCACACATGTGTTCCCTTACAGCTCTGGAAAAGTCTGAAGTAGGTTCTATGGAGCAAAAACTAAGGCAACAGTGAGGTATATTTCAGTTGAGTGTCCAAGGGCGAAACTAGGTTGTCCTACTTCTCCAGGCTGCCCTCTTCTCATGCCTCCTTCTGTCTCCAAAGCCAGAAGCAGCATGGCTCCTGCATTTGCAAGGTAATTGTCATGTCTCCTCCTGACTCACCTGCTACTCTCTTTCACGTATAAGAATTGGAGATTACGTTGGACTGCCTGGGTCACCCAGTCTCATCTCCCCATCTCCAGCTCCTTCTTTGCGTTGTTTCATCAAGGGTGGTCTCTGCATGCCCAACTCCCAACACCACAAGCTCATTGGACAAGGATCTGTAGACAGACTGAAGCAATGGCATGTGCGTGCATATAGTATGTAAAAGGAACTTGCTAGAATGGCTCACACAGTAGGGTAGCCCAACAGTATCCTCAGCATGCTGAGGTTGGCTGACAACCCAGTCACTGATCATGGATACTCCGGCAGCCCCAGTCTGGAAGCCTAGAAGATTCCTGGAGAGGCACTGGTCCCCGGTCTACTTTGGAAAGTGTGCATCTAGGAGTAGGCATTTTCAAAAGCACAGAATCATCCTACACATAACACTATTTTATGGACCTTTTTGCTGAATAGTCCTTTGTCATTAAAACTCCTTATGAACAGTATGTAGACGGGGAATACTGTCAGTTAACCCAAATAAGGGTCACTGATTAAGTCATTTCACATTGTGGTACTACATGAGATGGGGTAATTAATGCTAGCTCACACCTATTTATGCTTCTTCACAGAGCAGGCATCATTCCGAGTGTTGTACGTGTATCAGTTCATCCTCACAACAGCTGTCTACTGTTAGACCCCCGAAAACTCAAGTATCCGGGGTCCCAGGCCACGTTCGTGGTCACCCCAGTCACCAGGCGGATTCGAGAGCTTGCTGCAAAC